TGTTGTAATTTTTGCTGTTAGTATTTCAAGTTTTTACCAGAGCTCATATTGCAAATTTTATTTATTTATTTATTTTTTTTTTTTTGCGAGAAGTTTTTATTTTTAGTCATTTCACTCCCAAGCAATGCGGGAATGCCACTAGAACGTGTTGATTTACAAGGAGTGAAAATGAAAGAGAAAATTGAGAATAGGGAGGATTGAGGAAAGGACAAAAGATGAATGAGATCCACAGGTGGATAGTGCGAGAAAAAATACTGTCGGAGTAGAAGTGGCGGTTTCATTTAGGTACTTCAACAGTAATGGGGTGAGACCTAGACGCCAATCTTGTAGCACGCTTAAATTCATGTAGTCGGACCCCCAGGGGAATAAAAAGACCGTCACAGAAGTTGCCATGAAAATCTTTGTAGAAAAAAACAGGTGAAAGCCAAGTCATGCCGGTGAGAAAGTGACTGAAGTCGAGATGTGTAGTCACGTTATGAAGGAATATAGAAATACACTATCAAATCGATACCAACTTATGAAAAAATCACAAACTATTGCGAGAAATGAAATACAACAAAGACAGAAGAAAATTAAAACGGGACATGTTGGGAATAAATCAGCTCCATCCGAATTGGAAATTTATCGACAACCAAGGTGAGTTTTCTTTAAGCTTCTTGTACAATGGTGAAACGACTGTGAAGTGTGACGCACCTGACGCAGGAATGAAGCACATATATTTTAGAAGAACATCTCTCGAAAGAAATAAACCATATATGAGAAAGAGGCAGAATAGTTGCAAGGGGCATAGTATAATTCATAGGAAGAGCAAAAACAGGAAAAAATTATTATAACATATGCAAATGCGATGAAGAAGATAGCAGACGAGAAAAACCTCTGGCCATATTATGTACAGAGATATTACTCTTATTGACATCATGACTCAACGACATAATTCCCATTGACTACGTCAATGTACAGCAAAAGAAAAACGAGCAATAATAATGTTGTTTGTTTGAGTCGGTCTAGGAAGAAGTGATCATCTGGCATAAATCTATGGCTTAGGTTAATGAGCTTTGCTAACAAAATTGACATACTAGAAAAATTCAACTGCGTATATAACTCGTAGAGCATTTATTTGAACCACATATTTAAAATATTTCATTTTATTTCAATTCGGTATAAATAAAAAACATAAATGAATATATATATATATATATATATATATATATATATATATATATATATATATATATATATTATTAAGTTACGAAGAACTTGGAAAACTGAATGGGTAATTCCAAGGAGGATGAAATCCTGAGAGCTCAATGTGAATACAGAGCTAATATTTAATGAAAAACAGACCGGTTTAAGGTACCATTACAATAATTTATTTAACAAAAATCCTTTTTAAAGGACTCCGGATCAATGGCCATTTTTCCTTTCATTTTGTTGTTGGAATATACCTGATGATCCGGAGTCCTTTAAAAAGGATTTTGGTGAAAAAAATTATTGTAATGATACCTTAAATTGGTCTGTTTTTCATGATATATATATATATATATATATATATATATATATATATTGATAGTTGTATACTTAGGCAGCAATCCTTCCTTTATGCATGTTTCATTACAAACGACAGACAAGGTACTACGGTTGAGCTTTTTATTTAATTTTTCTTGTGTTCTAACAAGAGCTTTCTTTTCTGGACAAAGGGTATGTAAGAACTGTCCAAATGTTTTATATTTCCGAGCGCTTTCGGCTATACCTTTAGCCATTAACAAGGATGATTCGATTTTTCAGCTTAGTTGAGTGTGTGCGTTCTGTGTATGTGTCAGTGTGTAGTAGAGATGTTTTTAATTTCCGAATACGGTTAGAACATTGTATATATATATTTCGGACGGAACTGTAAAATTGTCCCTCGTCAGGCGATGTTAGATGACATATGAAGAATATGATTTACTTGGGGAATCAGAAAAAGTTACCGTTTTTTGTTTGTTTGTTTTTTTCTGATTTCCCAAGTAAATCATTTTCATCATATGTCATCTAACATCGCCTGACGAGGGACAATTTTTACTGTTCCGAAACAGACGCGACTAGCATGAAACAACCTGTCACCGCTAAGTGTTGAATTCAATGTTCACTTATATATTTACATACGCTCTATCTCTGTTATTGAACACTTTATTCCATAAATATAGCAACCTTAAGAGTATATTTCTTCATATATATATATATATATATATATATATATATATATTATATTTTATATATATATATATATATATATATATATATATGTATACATTCTATTTATATATATACATTCTATATATATATATACATTATATATATATATATATCAGCAAAATTACCCAAATAATGTAAGAGCATGGTGAATTTATTAAAATAAAATACAAGCTTTGATCTAATGGTTATTTTATTAAAAAAAGGTATATTTATGTAAAGTGCACCTTTTCAACCTAATGTTGCTCTTAGCTATTTCAAAGAACGCAAGATTCCATAATGGAATTTTGCACTTCACCGAAAAATCCATATAAATTTAGTGATCTCGACTTTTTCATACTATTCGCTACCCATCTGAAACCACAAGAGCCACCAAGGTAGAACGTAACTTTGTTATATATATGTATGTGGAGGAGACGGTAGGTGCAGATTATGGGGATATGTATGATAGCTTATCCTTGATCTTAGGGTTAAGATCATAGTGATCAAGAAAGCATCATCCCTGGAGTCGGTTCCATGAAGTGTTCCTCCTTAGATGATGGAGTAGAACTTCCTTCTTACAAATGCAATACGAAATGTACACGTTATGGCGGGTCTTATTTGTGAAGATCTAAACAGGTGGAACTAATGAATGTAACTCGTTTGAATATTTTCCATGAAAAAAAGAGAAAGGGTCGCAAAGTTTCGTCTCTAGTGGTAGTTAGGTGGGACATATTTCATCACAAATAATGCCACAAAAGAGGCTTTTGAACTCTGTCAAGTCTGACAAGTGGGGTTTTCATCATCATCATCATCATCCTTCGACCCCCTTATGGTTGGTCGGAACTCCATGGACAATACCTTTCCCCACTGCTTGGTCCTATATTTCTGTCCCAGTTTCCAACCCTCAGTCCCGAGCTATGGTGTCTGGAAAAGTCAATTTTCGTGAGAAGACACTTCCAGGGGGATGCCATAGGAGTAAGGATGAAAAGAATTCTCTGTTCGATCGGTGGCAGTAACTAATTGATTCTGTTTAAGGTCAAGATTGGCCTCAGTTTTCTGTTAATTGTGTTATGCGTTGATTCGAATGACTAACTGATATTCTGGATTTTCTGAGTAGATTTATATATGTTCCATCCAGTCATCTTTCAAGACGAGCAGATAATGTCTAAATTTCTGATCCATACAGTAGAACTAGTTCAATCAACGACGAGACCTTGATGCGAATCTAGTGGTACGCTTAAATTCTTGTGGTCGAGGAGTAGCACTCATTCATCATCCTCGTCATCCTTTCCTCCTCCCTATGGTTGGTCGAAACTCCATTGGCAATCCCTTTTCATCCAGTCGTCTTTCAAGGCGAGCAGATAATGCCTAAATTTCTGATCCATACAGTTGAGCTGGTTCAATCAACGACGAGACCTAGATGCGAATCTAGTAGTAAGCTTAAATTCTTGCGGTCGATTACAAAATGGCCGCAAACTACATGAAAACTGCCGTAGAAGCATAAAAAAATATATTATTTCCACTATCGATGGGAGTTGGGAAATGCAAAGTCGGTCTTGGCCTTCCCGCTAACTTGGAGCATGTGCATGTAAATTTTGGTGCAAATCCGTCGAAAACGGCGGCTGTGCATTCGTTACAGACACAACACATCCTGCCTTTTTATACATAGAGATGAATAGTTTTATAATTATCATAAAAATTGCGTTTTCGGCGCTTCGACGTGGTCTCGCCAGATCAGTTACGACCGCATAGGTAGTTAGGTCCTCACTGGGTACCCCGAACTTTCGGCCATGTGCCAAATCACAGCTTCGCTTAAAAAAGTCACTATCATAAATACCAAGACGGGAAGGGATTATATAGAGAAGGCCGTTGTGAAAGATAAGAATCAACGTATGTTGAAGGATTGAGACTTGGTCGTCCCTTCGCATGCTGGCGTGTAAATATATCTTGTTTCTCGGTAGTTAAATGTTCGATCCCTGCGTATGGTAATCCTGTAATATCGACTAATCTGCTTCAGTGGAAGAAAAGAGACGGATAGAAGCAGATTTAAATGGAAGGGGAAAAAATGGTCTAAGGGAATGAAAGAAAAAAGCAAAGGAAAAAAATGATGAACCGATTAACTTTGGTCGATTTTTTCTAACACGATTTAAAGTAATGTAATGATGCTTTTTTACAAGACGCTAATCCTCTTTGTCCTTCTGCTTTGTCAGATAGATCACCCCCCCCCCCTGCACGATTCTTTAGTCTGTGAATACCTATGGAAAAAACTCTTCAATAACTTCTTCAGTTACCAGACAGGTGATAACTTTACGTTTCGCACGTCGACTTTCTTCTCTACAAGAGGTTACATGAAAATGTCATTTTTATTCGAGACGCGAAGCCGAAAAAAGTTATTGAGTTAACGGATATTTTTTAAATAATAATTTTGACTGAAAATAAGACAGAGGGAAATGGGAGGAGGTATGTAATCAATTCTGGCGATTTAATTGAATGACGAATATATTTGCCATGAAAATGCCAACAGGGTTTTCGACGGTCAGTTCGATTTCAGTATAAATGATCAATTTCCGAAAAAGAGGAGGAGGGGAAACTCCGAGATTCAGCAAGGTTTAAAGAGATCAAGTATGGCGACACTGTGACGGAAAATTAGCAAAGCAAAATAATATCCTGATTAAATGTCATAATGACGAGGGTTCCATTGGTTTAGAACAAAAAGAGATGCTGGAAACACACAAACACACACACTTGTGACAGATAGATAGAGAGATAGATAGAATACGGTTAAGATGTTAGCTAGCTAGGTAGCTAGATAGATAGATATGAAATAATTGAGGGATGGATAGGAACAAATTCAGTTCGAGAGATAACGAACAGATTGTTTGATTGATGGATAGAAATAAGATAGATAGAGAGAGAGAGAGAGAGAGAGATAGATATGAGAAGAATGAGATCGATAGATAGATAAATAGATAGATAAGAACAGATTCAGATAGATAGATATGAATAGAATTAGATAGATAGATAGATAGATAGATAGATAGATAGATAGATAGATAGACACGAACAGATTGAAATAGATAGATTAACAGATAGATAGATACGAACAGACTGAGATAGATTGATAGATATGAAGAGACTGAGATAGATAGATAGATAGATAGATAGATAGATAGATAGATAGATAGATTATATTGAGAGATGGGTGGATAGAAAATGTTTAGGATAGATCGATAATGAAGAGATTGTGACATTGATAGATAGAAACATTTAGATAGATAGATAGATAGATAGATAGATAGATAGATACGAACAGACTGAAATAGATAGATTAACAGATAGATAGATACGAACAGACTGAGATAGATTGATAGATATGAAGAGACTGAGATACATAGATAGATAGATAGATAGATAGATAGATAGATAGATAGATAGATACGAACAGACTGAAATAGATTAACAGATAGATAGATAGATAGATAGATACGAACAGACTGAAATAGATTAACAGATAGATAGATAGATAGATACGAACAGGCTGAGATAGATTGATAGATATGAACAGACTGAGATAGATAGATAGATAGATAGATAGATAGATAGATAGATAGATAGATAGATAGATAGATAGATACGAACAGACTGAAATAGATTAACAGATAGATACGAACAGACTGAGATAGATTGATAGATATGAACAGACTGAGATAGATAGATAGATAGATAGATAGATAGATAGATAGATAGTGACAGAGGTCGTGAGCTCTCCGAAACTGACATAGTAGCAAATAAATAGAAATGACGAGACAGCGAAATTAATACAAATGTCTGGATCGCTAGTTTTCTCCGCAGGTCTTCGTCTGAGATTGCTTCCAGCACAAACCACCGATGCCCCAGCCCCTTATAAAAAAATCTATCGAACATCCGGATATTTTTGTATCCTTTCAATTATCATGACGTTCCTGGGAAGAGTTTCTACTTATATATTAGGCCGTCACACATGAAATGACGCACTGAAATGAATAAAAACCTTTCTGAAATAATTTATTTAGTTGAAAAAGGTAGCATGATGAATAGGTTTGTGTGCGTTTGCCAACTCAAATACACTTACACAGGCTTGTATACTATAATTATTAACTCTAAATAACATTCACTGTATGTCACAGTTCACAGTGAAAATGTCTTATCTGGATACAGAATCTTTTTTTTTTTCAGAACAAACGCTTGGAATTTCCTTAAAACAGCTAAGTTGTTAATTGAATATATTACTGAATTTTTTTTTAAGCGTTTCACCCCAAGCAAGGCGGGAAGCCACTAGCTCGTAAGGGGTTACAGAGAGTTGGAGCGAGAGCAAATAGGAGTGATAGAAGAAAGGATGAGGAGAAGGATAGTGGATAGATCAAGGCAACTGGAGATGTCGATTGACATTACATTTGAATAGCTGGAGATTATAGCTATCAGGGAAACTGGAATAGGGAAGGGAGTTCCACAGGTGAGAGGTGCGAGACATGAAGCTATTGGAGTAGAAGAGATGTCTACATTTAGAAGTTTCGACAGTGAAAGGGTGAGAGCGGGATCCCAGCTTCGTAGGGCGCTTGAACTCATGAAGTCTGGGAACCAGCGAATGCAGCTCATCGGAGCAATTGCCATGAAAGTATTTGTAAAACAGACAGAGAGAGGCGACGGCGCGTCTGTGAGAAAGTGACTGTAGACGAGATGCCAGATCAGGACCAATTATATCGCATATCCGCCTCTGGAGCCTATCAAGAACCCCGAGGCAAACAGAAGGGGCTCCAGACCATATATGGTAGCAATACTCCATGCAAGGGCGAATTGGTGATTTGTAGATCTGAAGGATCGATTCCGGGAAGAAAAAATTTCCTGGCGCGACACAGGTAGCCAACTTTCCTTTCTTTTTTTTTTAAGCATTTCACCCCTAGCCTGGCGGGAAGCCACTATGATGCAAGGGGTTACAGAAAATTTGGAGCAACATCAGATAGGAGTGATAGAAGAAAGGATGAGGAGAAGAGTAGTGGATAGATCAAGGCAACTGGAGATACAGAGGCCAGTGAGAGAGAGAGAGAGAGAGAGAGAGAGAGAGAGAGAGTACTGGAAACCCCTTCCTAAACAAGAAAAAGGCGTAATCCTCTACTCATGTCCAAGAGAAGAGGGAGGAGTGTTGACCGGGCGGTAGGAAAGCCTACCTACTCCTATTACATATAACACATACAACAACAACAAAAACAGAGGGAACGATGAGGGGGGGAGGTCATTTGCAAAGAGTCCTGGCTGACACTTGCATTTACCCTTTCGCAACATTAAGTTAAATTTTAACTTAGTATAAGTCCCATTGTCTATTCTAAAAAGAAATTGAAGAAAATAAGGTTATCCGGATTTATTGCCATGTCATAATAAATGCCCCAACATACGTGGCAGCGAGTGTTAGTCCGCTTTCTTCCTCATGATAACAAGTAAATGTACAGCTTACCTTAAGTCCAAGCATCAACCCGGTGGGGGGGTGTCAACGGCCAATCCACCGCCCTCACCAAATAGTGGGCTTGGGAGGCATGCTTTCAATAAAAATTAAGAACAACAGGAGAAAGAATGGTGGCGAAAACAATTCCAATATTCAGAAATTTTATCAAGCAACAATAGTCAGCCATTAAATCATGAGAATACTGACGGGACACTTTCGCATCTAGCCAAAAACATTCATTTTATCCTTTTTTCTGATTTTTCTTTCGAAACGGGATTTCTAACTAGACCATCGGATAGGTTAGAATGATTAGGACAAAATGTGTTACTATGGGCAAACACACTGACGAGTAGGGGGAGAAAAAAAAGAAAAATGAAAAAAAGAAAAAATACAATAAAATAAAATTTAAACATTAAAAAAAAAAATAGAAAAATAAAGAATTAAAGAAAATCGAAAAAAAAATTAAAATGAATTTTCGGTAGAGCGAAATTATACTCACACAGGGCAGCGAGTGTTTGTCCGCTTTCTTCCTCATGATAACAAGTGAATGTAGAGCTTACCTTAAGTCCAAGCATCGACCTGGTGGGTGGGGGGGGGATCAACGGCCAATCCACCGCCCTCACCAAATAGTGGGCTTGGGAGGCCTTGCGATGGACGAAGCAATTGACTCAATGTATTTGTTCCATCTCAGGTCAGCAGACAAGGTGAGACGAAGCAGCCGCAGAGAGTTGCTCTCGAGAAGTTGAGCGTCAGATATTCTAATGGAGGGCAGGGAAGGATCTCTGTGGTGATTAATTTAAATTACCTTCTTATATGTACCGTGTCCATTCAGGACGTATGGGATCATGGTGTTTCTTGTAGCTCTTAATAACCTTTCCCTTTTTTCTTATTTCTCCCAGATCGAGTTTTACCATCCATTTGCTCAAGGCCATTAAGTATGTAATGCTTTGCTTTCCACGGTCAGTATTTCTCTCTATCCGTCATGTGAGTAACAGACTTTTTTGCTGTCACGGTCGGTTTGTCAGGGTTGCCCGCTGTCGCGTTGGAGCCTCTCCTTCGCCGGCTGAGGGACAGGGCGTGCAGAGCAGTCCGATGTGTAATCGCGCTATCCCTGGTTGGGTTCGAGTCAGGGTTTCTGCGTATGCCGATGACGTATCTACATTCTTATCGTCCCGCAGTGACATTGAGGTGGTACTGAAGGTGCTTGATCGGTACAAAAAGGTCACAAGTGCCAAGATTAACAGCGACAAGTCTTCTGAGATGCACTTACCTATAGAGAAATGGGTAGATTTTCCGGGGACTTTGGTTGAGCGGACGGTCCTGTCTGCATTCCCGAAGTATAGATTGGACACTTCTCCAACGTACCTGGAAATTCTTGATTCCATCTTTAAAAATCTCATCCTTTGATGTGATAAAAAGTTAAAGTTCTTCGATAACCTCTTGCTTATTGTAGAATGGTTTATTACGCATGAAAAGCTCAAAATACTTAAATAAATGATAATCAGTAGGAAAGATAAGTGAATATGGAAAATTTAATTCAGGCTATGCAACTTTTGGACAGTTAATTGGACAGTTCGACCGTGCGTCGTCGTCCAGGAAAATTGGGCAATCCCTATTCACAAGTCTAGGATGTATTTTTTTTTTTACAATTTTTCGTACATACCCTCTATTTCTCCAAAGTACGAAGTTGCTGTTATTATTTGTTCATATCTACATTGCATATGACATGACATGGTTGGTTGCTGATTTGATTGTCCAACGAAGTAGCCTCCTGAGTATAAATCTCGTTTAGTATATAAAAAACTTATTGACTTTATTCTAACACTTTTGAGGCAAAAATACAACATGAGTAATCCCTTTGAAAGCCCACCATTAACATTTCAGGGTGCAATGGAGGTTTTGGTATTGCTTTGGTGATTTACTTGCATCTAACCACAGGCCTACTCCATTACTATTGTCAAATAGTATCCACTTCTCATGGCCTGTAATGATTCGATCTACTTTTTTCAGTCACTTCATATCTATCTATAGTTCCGGATTGAGGTATATTCCATCAAACTTCAATTCTAAAGGGCTATCACCCCTGTTGCCCCATACACAAGTACGGAATCAGCAGATGCACGATAGAAATTACATGTGTTATGATTAATTTGTTTGTTTAACAGGATATCAACACCTTCATGGGTCACTTAATGCCGAAATTTATTTTTCATGGGTGCTTTGATGTAAAAGAAATATGATGTATGTTATTCTGCTTTCGCAATTGAATACATGGTAGTTGATACTCAGCTTTTGTACATACACATGTTTGTGTGATATGTGTCTCTTATGTTTTAGTTTTGTTGAAGTTATACATTGGAATAGAGTTTGAGTTCTTTTAGAAATTGTTAAGATATTATATGTATTGCCATGACAGACTTTTTTCGTGTTTGCTGTTTAGTTTAGCGGCATATCAACATCTCTATGAGTTATTTAATGCCGAGATCTAACTATTTTGGACACAATGACTTCAACTAAATACATTTTGATGTAACTGCATTCCTTCAACTACAGATAAAATTTATCGATGGTAATTTTACTATAAATATGAATTGCCAATAACCTTTTATGTAAAACTTAAATTTTTACTATAAAATGTATTTTGTAATTATTTAGGGGTTAACTATTTACCCATAGTTGGGGACCTAACAGGTACTACGCCCGAGTCAATGTGTACCCGGGAACAACTGCAGTTAAGAGGTGGTCCCATGCTCTTCAAAGCTTCTAATCTCCCTAAAAGTCCATGCTGCCAGATGTAGTTTATCGTCAGACCTAGTACTAAAAAGAAGATTATAGTTGAAACATTGGCTCACAACGTTACAGAATAGTCTAGACTAGAATATTCTTTGTCAGTTTCTCATACGTTAACGCACAACCGAAATTTTAGACGGAGAAATGTTTCAGGTTATTTGGTGCATAGTGAAATTGCTTGGTATGTTGCTTCAGTGTAAACGTACTGGACAATTTTTCTCGTTAGAATCCATCTTGCATATTTATAAACCTACAATTAGTCCGTGGCTTGAATATTACTGCTGCGCCATATAGCTAGAGATCTTTGATAAAATCCAAAGAAAAATCAGCATTACTATTGGTCTTGAACTGGATTCTCGGCTTCAGTAATTTTCCCACAGCCGTTAACCTCCCTGTGTCTTTTATATAAATGTTTTCATGGTAATTGTTCGAATGACATCTTCGCCAAGGAGTTCTTTATGGAGTTTCGAAGGAATTATGTTGGATGAAGCAAGAATGGTAAGTAAGAATGCGTTGTTTTCGTGTAAGGAATATTATTGTATGTTTGAGTTAATGTTTGTGGCGAGTTAAGTTTCAACTGATTTCAACAAAACTTCACAGAACTACGTAAAATTACCTTGCCGTGGTTCTGACAGCTCCAAAAATTGGAAAAAACACAATTGTTTTTCACAAAATCAATTTGAAAACATGATTAAGAGGCATCGCGAGAATGAAAGGGGGACAACTCATATCGAGTTATACTTATTATAAAACCCAGGTTGTGTGTGTGTGTGTGTGTGTGTGTGTGTGTGTGTGTGTGTGTGTGTGTGTGTGTGTGTGTGTGTGTGTTTATATATGGGATCGGATTTCCTACATTCTTCAACCGATTTCAACAAAACTTCACTTTTATTTTGGGCAGGTAGTGTTTCTTATTGTCTTGCAAACTTTTTTCTTTATTTTTACATTCAGAATGCTTTAAAAATTCCATTTACAAGACAATTGTTTATAATAAAATTCTATTCAATCGGTAGACTCATAACGATTGAAAACAATGTTTTTGTTTGAGTTTGCGTTTGACAAATTCGTAAAAAAATCAAAAAAAAAACGAAACAAAAAAAAGCTAATTAAGACATGCGTGTCCGTCAACCTTAAACAATAATCTTTGTCAATTTTATTTTTCAGTCTTTATGATGGTCGATACTTGATCTATCTCTTACTGTTACATCCCCAGGCAACGCCGGGCTCTACTGCTAGTATTTAATAAAGTGTTAAAAGCATTTGTAAAGAGATTTCTTTTCGAAATTTCGGTAAGAAAACATCCAGAATGCCCAAGACAAAGAAAAGAAGCGTATTGTGGCGGGTGGGGGGTGCTGAAATAACAGGTGATTAGGATCTTTGTAAAGTTGACTGAGCGATGAACTCGATATACAACAATTACTACATTTTTCTCAATAGCACTTTACTGGAAGGGGTTTCTTACGTTTTCGGTTGACATTTGGTTGTATCTGCAGTTGGGAAAACAGTGTATATAAATGGCAAACTGTAGAGAGCTATGAAAATGCATACACGCTAGAAAGAAAGAAAGAAAGAAAGAAAGAAAGAAAAAAAAAGAATGATATGAATGAATTAGATAGATAGATAGATAGATATACTAGAATTAGATAAGTAGATAGATATTAGATAAAAAGAAAGAAACAAACAAACAAACAAACGAATGAATGAATGAATGATACGAATAGAATTAGATAGATAGAAAGAAAGAAAGAAAGAAAGAATCATATGAATTAGATGGATAGATCGATAGACAGAATTATATGAATAGATAGAGATATAGAAAGAAAAAGAAAGAACGAACGAACGAACGAACGATATAATAGAATTAAATAGATAGATAGATAGATAGATAGATAGATAGATAGATAGATAGATAGATATAAAGTAAGCGGGAAAATGATATATAGATATGAAAAGATTGAGAGAGATTGATACATAGACAATGAATTGATAAAAAAAGAAAAGAAAAAATGAAGGAAAGTTAAAAAGAAAAGTGTTGAATGGGCATTTGAAGCCTCAATAGATAACGGGAGAGAGAGACAGACAGACAGACAGACAGACACTGATAAACTGATTGATCCTTCTGTGTCAAGTTATTTAAAAATACTCCAGGCAACTTGTCGTCATGTAAAATTTATCTTTCCAACATTGCAGAAAGAAGTTCCGTGCAACATTTTCAAATATACCCGCGTTTACTTTTTGCACTTCACAGCAAACGAAAGGTCTATTCATTTTATTATTATTATTATTATTATTATTATTATTATTATTATTATTATTATTATTATTCCAGTCTTCTCTTCCCAATGTACAAGTTACCTGAGGTAATATCATTTTTTGCGGCATGAAAAGATATTTGAAATTGCAGCGATTTATATGCATACGTGATATTCACGTTCTGTGTACGTTTCTACCATTTTTATCTATTCTTTCTTGTTTGATCTGGAGAGGGATGAATCGTTCTTATGCTCGATGCCATCCGATATACCGCAGAGATCATCTTTTCATGCGCCTGAAATCAAGCTTCAAGATTATGCATTTTGAAAACGGACCAAAAATTTATTAAATATATATATATATATATATATATATATATATATATATATATATATATATATATATATATATATATATATATCGGTATGTACATATATCTACACAAACATACATATATAGATAGATAGATAGATAGATAGATAGATAGATAGATAGATAGACATTTTAGGCTGTACTGAATTGTATAGAGCATTTTTTTTTGTTTTTAAATAAAAATAATTAATAAGACTACAGGATTATTAATATTACTACACTTTTTTCATTATTTTAATACACACACACACACATATATATATATATATATATATATATATATATATATCGTCAACGACGGAGTTATTACATATATATATATATATATATATATATATATATATATATATCAGTATGTACATATATCTACACAAGCATACATATGTAGATAGATAGATAGATAGATAGATAGATAGATAGACATTTTAGGCTGTACTGAATTGTATAGAGCTTTTTTTTTGTTTTAAATAAAAATAATTAATAAGACCACAGGATTATTAATCTTACTACACTTTTTCATTATTTTAATACACACACATATATATATATATATATATATATATATATATATATCGTCAACGACGTTATTACATATATATATATATATATATATATATATATATATATATATATATATATATATATATCGGTATGTACATATATCTACACAAACATACATATGTAGATAGATAGATAGATAGATAGATAGATAGATAGACAGATAGACAGACAGACATTTTAGGCTGTAATTGAATTGTATAGACCATTTTTTTTGTTTTTAAATAAAAAATAATTAATAAGACCACAGGATTATTAATCTTACTACACTTTTTCATTATTTTAATACATACATACATATATATATATATATATATATATATATATATATATATATATATATCGTCAACGACGAAGTTATTCGTACACCCATTAATTTTGAATATTTTTATCCATTTCTCAGAATCTAAGGCTATTTTTTTACATGTCATTAAGTACATAAAAAGGAATAGAAAACTCAATTTTCAGAGCAATACATTAGATAGAGCAAATTTGATTGACGAATTTTGCAAAATAGGAAAAGGCAACATTATTCGTACTGAAAAATATATCGCTTTAAATTGATTGATTAGTGTAAGAATAAATAATTTACATAATTATTTTATTAGTGAAGCCTTCTAGACTATTTATTCTGTAGAATATTTGTAAATTGTCGGTCGCCATAAAACCTTCAGGATTTAGAACGTGTAACCATTGAAGAATGAAGAAAATCCCAGAAAATTCTTGTTCAAATTTCATCACAAACTTTAGAAAACGATTGCTGCAAGTTATAAAGATGAGAGGCCATACTATTCACTATTAATATGAAAACTGTTCATTTTTTTCTATTTTTCATACTGTACGAATAATTGTGTCTTTACCTATTTTGCATAATTCGCCGATCAAATTTGTTGTATTTAATTTATTGTTCTGAAAATTGAGTTTTATTTTTCTTTTTATGTGCTTACAAACATATAAAAAACCTCGCCATCAAAATTGATGGCTGTACGAATTATTTCCTACACCCGTCAATTTTGAATATTCTATCCATTTCTCAGAATCTAATGCCCGTGTGATGCCAAGTTTTTTATATGTTATAATTAATAAACACTAAAATCCCAAATCATCGCATATGGGGAATAGCCAATTTCGGCAGACGAAGATATCGATCGTCTGTTTTTATCAACCACAGTGTTGACTGAGTTCGTGTCAGAGATAGAAATTTAAGTATGAAAGTTAACAAAAAGCAGTCGAAAAACTTAAAGAGAATTTATGCATTTCATTGTTTCAGTCAGACGAAAGGCATGGGGTAGGGATCAGAGGAAGGCAGAAGGTATTTGGTTAAAAGGAAGAAGTTTTATAAAATTAAAACCTCTTGACATTAATTTGGAGTTATATGAAGAATGAAATATTAATTTAAAATTAATAGAGGAATAAAAAAGGGGTTTAAATATAACTTTAAAATATATAGATAAAAAATGTAAGGGATTAATGGAAAGAGAGTTGGGGATAGCTAAGAGTAGGGGAAGGTTTATAAATTATAATTGATATAGGCAAAGATGTTATAGAGTGGGGTGAAATACAGAAATTAGAATTAGTTATACCTTTGACATTTGAAGGGTTGGAAAGGAATGAATATTATGGAAATATAGTAGCTAATTAAGTTAAACCTATATTATGGAAATTTGAATTTGTTTTTATGTCGACATTTTAACACTAATTCGTTCCTCTGATTTAATAGGTTGCTTTGATTATTATATTTTATTATTCTTTTTTTTTCTTCTAAACATACGTCCCACCAATCTTTAAGACTACTAGGGGTACCTATAATCTTCCAAACTAACGGCGGGTTAAAACCATTATCCTTCAATTCACAAAATTTCTTTGAAAGAGCTGTCTGCTGTTTTAGTTAAGGGTTAGAAAATGATATCAAATTGGTATAATATCTCTGTTTCCAGTCCCCCGCGGACCCCTAAGAAAATATGAAAATTTATAATGTTTTACATTGGAATTTTCGCGGGTGGGGGATGAAAACAAACACACACACACATACACACACACACACACATATATATATATATATATATATATATATATATGTGTGTGTGTGTGTGTTAGAGAGGTTTAACACAGTATATGTATAGATAAAATAATGATAAGTTTTTGAAAAACATCTGTTTTTAGATACTTATATCCAGTATTTTTAATATACGTATGTTTACATATAATTTTAAAAATTTGTTTTACTTACATGTGGGTTTTCAGAAAAGAATCTTTTTTTTTACTTTAGCAGGTTTTCCAATTAACTCTTCAAAAATATTGTAACTGTTTATCGAATTAAGCGTTAGAACGTAGTAATTCAATAAACATTTACAAACTTTTTGGAAAGCAATTTTAATAATTCTTTGTAAAAATACATGTATTATAACATTTATGTATAAAACATAACGTAATTTTTCCAAATATTATTATCGTTTCTCCATATATATATATATATATATATATATATATATATATATATATATATATATATATATATTATAATGAAATTACAAGGTCTGACAATTATTTTACGACATTTTTATGTTCATACATTCTTTTTTTATAGATACAATATTTAAGTAAATGATCTGTTTATAATAAACAGTATTAACGACATTTACCGGCCTGAATGTCCGAGAAATTTTCGTAGAAAATATGCGTCCTCCGACAGCAATCGAACCTCTATTCCATACGAAACCGTCATATAGCCTGACGTGCTTTTACCGATTTAGACACAAAGGAGCGTTCGGTTAGCAAGGTCAATTTTACTGTCTTTAAACTACAACCTTCCATGAATCTCTCACGTACATTCATATCTGCTCATGGCGTATCCAAATGTAAACAAATGACGTCACACCTTATGAATTGGACAAAGTCCGACAATTATTTTAGGACATTTTTATGTTTATAAAAATCTATATTTTATCTATAAAAAAGAATATATTAGGTTGGTGCAAAAATAATGTCGTTTTTTTTGACGTATTTTTTAACGTCAAAAACGACATTATTACGTCATTATTTTTGCACCAACCTAATATAAAATATAAAAATGTCTTAAAATAATTGTCGGATTTTGTCCATTTCTATATATCTGAAATACTTTAAAATGAAACTCAATTGCACCCCATTTTTATGCTCATTTATATATATATATATATATATATATATATATATATATATATATATATATATATATTACTGGGTTTTAAAGATATTACTGATATTTAAAGATTTTACGGATATTAGATTTCATTGAAAAATACATCCCTACCCACAACCAAAAACGTAACTAATAACTGATACATCAAAATACAGACATAATGAACACCCAGACACCCCTTGTCCAGTTGAAGTAGATTTATCTGTAACCTTGGAAATGTGAATTATGATTTTAGCTGTGTCTTTAAAACCCAGTAATTTTAAAAGTTACTCCAAAATTCGCTTGAGGATAAAATGGAACTAATGTCTTTCATTTAATTACAAAATTAAATTCGGAGCTTTTAGCTTCCATTTTTGAAACATGGTTAGAACTGTGTAGAAAAAAAAAAACATATTTTAATTTTAATATATATATATATATATATATATATATATATATATATATATATATATATATATATACCGTAAATCGTTGAATTCTTGGAATTTCTCATAACATTATTGGACTCTACTTTAAATAATGAGAATACATAATTATTCACCCAGCTTAACAGAAGAATTAGATAAAATCGATCATAAACCAAACTGATATATTTATCATTAATTAATCATAGCTAAGGATTGGTAGCTCATAAAGGATTGAAATTAAGTTCAAATATATTTATATATATTATTCAAGGATCATTTTACAACTTATTCAAGATGATCTTGGCCCTCTCTAACCTTCTAACATTCTTTCCTGGAGTAACAAGATGTCTCACAGGTTTCACGTACGTTTTCATTTCGAAAGCTTTTTTAACTGCTCATTGAGCTGTTATAGCTGAAACTCCTCTCTCACGTGCCAAAAGTCTTAGCGATTGAGTTGGATCTTTTCTAATTGATCTCTTTAACTCTAAGTTGAAACGATGATCCCTCTTCCTGTTGTGATCTCATGGTTCTGTTTTCCCCTATATAGTTCCCTCCTTTTTAAACTTATTCACCATTCACTTGATGGTTCTTGAACGCACTTTGAAGATGGAGCATGAATGTTGGAAACATTACTGAATGGCTGAATGACCTTTTTCCTCTCACCATTGCTCAGTTGTGAAGATATACAACTATGTCATGATGGCTAAACGTTTTATCTGAAACCCTGCAAAATGAAACTGAATTAATTTAGTGGTTTTTCAGATATAAAACACGATTTGGACAATTTTGATATCATACCCGGTATATATATAATTAACATCCATGGAAATGGGATAAGTGTAGGCAGAATGAGATTCTGGAGTGCGTTTTCGTATGTGTGAATGTATGTGTATATATCTCACTGAGGGAAACAAATCGTTTTCAGCCGAGTACGCCGCCATGTTCTTTACAAGATAGAAACTGTGGTTACGTTTGCTTCCATTTTTATGGAAGAACGCGCATTGCCAAGAGGAGACGTAGTGTGTGGTCGGAAGGATGAAAAAAATGTAGCTAACGGAAGGCACACAAGTCGATACCCGATCTGTATAACCTGGGCCACCGCGGAGGGTTGAGTATGATGTTGAATGACCCGAAACTCCTAGGAAACATTACAGATGATGTGTACCAATGCATCCAATATATGTATTTTAGAAAAAGATATATATATATATATATATCAACTTGTCTGAATCACCTTCAAGAGGCGAGAGCAAGATCTAAAATGTCAGCTAATCTAACAGTAATCTCATCCCACAATCCTTACTCTATATGTGGCCTCCTTTGTAAATCACTAGCGGGTCTTAAGTGCCACTTAGATTATCGCACAAAATTTCATAACTGAATCAATTTGGTTGTCAGATCCTCATACGTCGAAACCGACGGGAGAATATATATATATATATATATATATTCTCCCGTCGGATTGGAATTTATATATATATATATATATATATATATATATATATATATATATATATATATATATATATATATATATATATATATATATATATATATATATATATATATATATATATATATATATATATATATATATATATATATATATATTTCAATGGTTTCGACGTATGAGGATCTGCAATTTCATTGTAATGTTTGGGCACCTCGGCGTGGTGTAATGGTTAGCAAGCTTGTCTCGCTAAAACAGTTACGGCTGAATAGTGAGTTCGATCCTCACTGAATACCCCATACTTTCGTCCTTGTGCCACATCTAGGCTACATTTGGAAAATATATATACTGATCTTGGGCTCTGTCACGCATGCGCACTAAGTTATAACATTCTTCTACGCTTTCGTTGTGTACAGCAGTACTTGGAAGGAAAGTACCACAGAGTGACAATGCCATCTGCAGTAGTTTTTGCGAAGAATACAAACCCAATGACCGATAACCAACATATTCCCCATAAACCGCCCCTTGCAACTTTTTTTTCTTTTCAAGAATCAAATCCCAATTTACAGGAAGAAGAATTCAAGACATCAAGACAATCCAAGAGAATGCGACGTTGCTCGCTATCATAAAAAAGCGTTCTCGGAATGATTCCTTCAATGAAAACGAGGCTGGATTGAATAAAATGCGTTGCTTCAGAACTGCTTCGAAGCTGATTAAATCTGTTGAAATTTTATTTTTATAGCACTAGTACTGGTACGATTTTTTTTAGCAGAACTCGTATATCTATTCAATATACCAACAAATAAAATTTATTGAAATTTGTTGAAATTAGTGAAACTCTACTTTCTAAAACGAAAGAGATAAAGGAAAATCCTGTTGATCGTTCCACTAAAGTGAACCATGTTTACTCACGTTAATCTTTATTTGGCTTAAATAAAATTCTCTTATATGACCTTCATTCAGAAGGGAAACAATTTATAATCGATGTTCCTCTGATTGTCTTAGATATTTACTGACACGCATGCAACGATTGGCGGGGCTCAACCAGTCAGTCAATGCACGGATCAGCGTACAATGCATTCCATGAGGCTTCGAACAATAAATGAACCGTGACTGATACCACTCTATTGCTTATTGTATATTAGATTTTAAAAAAAAACAAAAAAACTCACCACTGTAATGTATAAAACTGGTACCGTGTCACCTGCTCGAACGAGTCACGATTTCCAACTTTGTCGTGTAAATGGTCGAATATCAGCTTATGTGTGCTTGTTTGTGTTTAAGATGGTTTTGCAATCCGTCATACATACATAATACAAGTAATAACAGAAAGACTTCAATGTAAAATAATAAGGTATTTAATTACCAAAGCAATTAAAATACATTAACAACAAAGAAGTGAAGAGTCTAGAGAAAGATTATTGATTACTTTTCAGTTAATACACGACTGCTTAGAGCAACTAAGAAAAGTACTAATTCGCCTTGAAACACGTGACACTCGACTTTAACGTCCGCGTTAACACAATAGTCAAACACGTAATTCTACCCCGCACCCCAGTCAGTGGTATGATATCTCTATTTATAATAAATGGCGATCTACATTTCCATTTCCTAGAGATTCACGTTCAAAATCCGGTGTCAGCAGTGACAATTTTTATCCATATATGATTGATAACAAGCGTGCTATGGATCTAGGCGTCTGTAAAACTTTGTTGTGTCGCTATACATAGTACCCTGTGTATTTTGTTGGAATTAAAATCGACAATGAAGGAAATTCAAGTTTATATGATAGTTGTATCATTCACATTCGTTGTCTAGAGACAATCTGCAACCTTAAAAGCTGGCCATGTTTGCCGTGGAAGATATGTTATATTTTCTAGTGGAAAAAGACATAATGAGCCTTCGTCAACCCATTTTCAGCTATTTCCGGAGCCAAGCAGTTGAGAACATCGAAATAACTTTATGAATTTATTTTCGTTTACGTTCATCTCGAGGTTCTTGACAAAATCCAAAGGAGGAAATAGCTACCTTCCTGTCTTTTCTACAAATATTTTCATGGCAATTGTTCTGATGACATTTTCTCCCTGATGCGCCGTCTACATGAATTTAAGCCTATCACTAGATTTGTATCTAGGTTCCAACTGTTTACTGTTGAAATAACTAAATGTAACGGCCACTTCTACTCCAGCTGTTTCTTTTCTCGCACTTCGCACCTGTGGAACTCCATTCCATTTACCTGCGTCGCTGATAACTACAAACTTCAAATCGCGATCTCTTCTTGAATCCCAATCATAATTTGTCTTTTACTCATTCCTCCTTATACCCAATCTTTTCTCTCTCCTTCACTCTCTGTAAACCCCTGAGTACTCGTGGCATTCCTGCCTTGCTTGGGGTGAAATGATTGAAAAAATACATTGACCTACTGATACGATGCTATATTATCTTCCGCCTTTCTCTCTCTGTCCTCTCTTGGTTTGTTCCTCTACAGTAATAGATAGATAGATACATTCAGACAGAGAGAGAGGGAGAGATGAACAGAATGAGCTAGCTAGATAGATAGATATGAGCATACCGAGATAGTTAATGAAAAGAGATACCCATAATAGATAGATAGATAGATAGATAGATAGATATGAATAGAATTAGATAGATAGATAGATAGATAGAGAGAGAGAGAGAAAGAGAGAGAGACAGGGAGAGATGAACAGAATGAGCTAGATAGATACATAGATATGAATAGAATTAGAGAGAGAGAGAGAGAGAGAGATGAACAGAATGAGCTAGCTAGCTAGCTAGCTAGCTAGCTAGATAGATAGATAGATAGATAGATAGACAGATAGATAGATAGATAGATAGATATGAGCATACGGAGATAGTTAATGAACATAGATAGATAGATAGATAGATAGATAGATAGATAGATAGATAGATATGAACAGAATGAGATAGATAGATAGATAGATAGATAGATAGATAGATAGATAGATAGATAGATAGATTCTTTCTTTCTTCTCCACCCAGAATTGATTTATTGATTCATTTTTAATGGTTTATCAACCTGTTGCATATTATTTAAAATCAGAAAGTATTTTTAGATTGCAAGAATATTTTGGTGGTAACAAGGATTAGCATAGAGCTGGGCTGGGGAGAATAAGGGGGGATTAATACATTTCCCAAGAGGATTTAAACGTGAGTGAATATAACGAACCTGACTGGAATTGGAACTTGGTTTTCCAATTTCCAATCTGGAGCCTTTAACCATTTAACCACTCACATATTCAAGATTACAGCACCTGGTATTCACAAAAGGTCACTCATCTTGACCAGGTTGCACGTTGCTTCACTTCGGTAGTCATACGAGAACCGGTGGTTCACCATATGGTCGTTAGATCGCCAAACTAAGACATGTACATCAAAGTTATGTGACATGGATTGTTTTGTTTTGATTTTCCGTAGAAGTTGGTTTCCATTTAAAAATTCAGTCCTGGGTATGACGATAAACTACATCCGCCTCCTGGGTAAGACGATAAACTACGTCCAACAGCAAGGCCTCTGGACAGGAGGTTTTGAGGAGTTCGGAACCACCTCTTAATTACTGGTGTTCCCAGGTTCACCCAGACCCAGGGTGGTGGCACCTGTTAGGGCCCTAGCTATGGACAAATAGTTAGCCCCCAAACTGGGGTCAAAACACTATGAAAGTGTAAAAATAAGTTTTAACATCAGAAATAATTTGTAAAAGAAAATAACAGTTATGAGCAATACATTATTATCAGCAATATATTTTAGGAAAAGAAAATTACCAGCAATACTTTTTTAAAGGAAAAATATTATTAGCAATATATGTTTGAAAAAAAAAATATTACCAGCAATAAACATTTTGTCGGCATTAAATAACCCATTGAGGTGTCGATATTCCGTAAAACAAACCGAACCATATTGATTTCTTACTACGAATACATATTCTATTCATACGAACCTATCCTAAATATCTTGTCGGCATTAAATAACCCATTGAGGTTTTAATATGCCATAAAACAAAATCAACCAAACCAAACAGATTTCTTACTAGGAATACATATTCTATTCATACGAGCCTATCCTAAATATCTTGTCGGCATTAAATAACCCATTGAGGTTTTAATATGCCATAAAACAAAATCAACCAAACCAAACAGATTTCTTACTACGAATACATATTCTATTCATACGAACCTATCCTAAATATCTTGTGGGCATTAAATGACCCATTGAGGTTTTAATATGCCATAAAACAAAATCAACCAAACCAAACAGATTTCTTACTACGAATACATATTCTATTCATACGAGCCTATCCTAAATATCTTGTCGGCATTAAATAACCCATTGAGGTTTTAATATGCCATAAAACAAAATCAACCAAACCAAACAGATTTCTTACTACGAATACATATTCTATTCATACGAACCTATCCTAAATATCTTGTCGGCATTAAATAACACATTGAGGTTTTAATATGCCATGAAACAAAATCAGCCAAACCAAACAGATTTCTTACTACGAATACATATTCTATTCATACGAGCCTATCCTAAATATCTTGTCGGCATTAAATAACCCATTGAGGTTTTAATATGCCATAAAACAAAATCAACCAAACCAAACAGATTTCTTACTACGAATACATATTCTATTCATACGAACCTATCCTAAATATCTTGTCGGCATTAAATAACTCATTGAGGTTTTAATATGCCATGAAACAAAATCAACCAAACCAAACAGATTTCTTACTACGAATACATATTCTATTCATACGAGCCTATCCTAAATATCTTGTCGGCATTAAATAACCCATTGAGGTTTTAATATGCCAAAAAACAAAATCAACCAAACCAAACAGATTTCTTTACGAATACATATTCTATTCATACGAACCTATCCTAAATATCTTGTCGGCATTAAATAACTCATTGATTCATACCAAACAAACAGATTTCTTCCTAAATATATTCTATTCATACAAAATATCCTAAATATCTTTCGGCATTAAATAACCCATTGAGGTTTTAAAATGAAACAAAATCAACCAAACCAAACAGATTTCTTACTACGAATACATATTCTATTCATACAAACCTATCCTAAATATCTTGTCGGCATTAAAAAACCCATTGAGGTTTTAATATGCCATAAAAACAAAATCAACCAAACCAAACAGATTTCTTACTACGAATACATATTCTATTCATACGAGCCTATCCTAAATATCTTGTCGGCATTAAATAACCCATTGAGGTTTTAATATGCCATAAAACAAAATCAACCAAACCAAACAGATTTCTTACTACGAATACATATTCTATTCATACGAGCCTATCCTAAATATCTTGTCGGCATTAAATAACCCATTGAGGTTTTAATATGCCATAAAACAAAATCAACCAAACCAAACAGATTTCTTACTACGAATACATATTCTATTCATACGAGCCTATCCTAAATATCTTGTCGGCATTAAATAACCCATTGAGGTTTTAATATGCCATAAAAACAAAATCAACCAAACCAAACAGATTTCTTACTACGAATACATATTCTATTCATACGAAGCCTATCCTAAATATCTTGTCGGCATTAAATAACCCATTGAGGTTTTAATATGCCAAAAAACAAAATCAACCAAACCAAACAGATTTCTTACTACGAATACATATTCTATTCATATGAAACCTATCCTAAATATCTTGTCGGCATTAAATAACCCATTGAGGTTTTAATATGCCAAAAACAAAATCAACCAAACCAAACAGATTTCTTACTACGAATACATATTCTATTCATATTCTATTCGTCCTAAATAAGCCTCTTTACTACGAAACTATTCATATAAATGTCTTAATTGAGGTTTTTAATATGCCATTCTATTCATACGAATACAATCCTAAATATCTTGTCGGCATTAAATAACCCATTGAGGTTTTAATATGCCATAAAAACAAAATCAACCAAACCAAACAGATTTCTTTACTACGAATACATATTCTATTCATACATACGAACCTATCCTAAATATCTTGTCGGCATTAAATAACCCATTGAGGTTTTAATATGCCATAAAACAAAATCAACCAAACCAAACAGATTTCTTACTACGAATACATATTCTATTCATACGAACCTATCCTAAATATCTTGTCGGCATTAAATAACCCATTGAGGTTTTAATATGCCATAAAACAAAATCAACCAAACCAAACAGATTTCTTACTACGAATACATATTCTATTCATATGAGCCTATCCTAAATATCTTGTCGGCATTAAATAACCCATTGAGGTTTTAATATGCCATAAAACAAAAATCAACCAAACCAAAACAGATTTCTTACTACGAATACATATTCTATTCATACGAGCCTATCCTAAATATCTTGTCGGCATTAAATAACCCATTGAGGTTTTAATATGCCATAAAACAAAATCAACCAAACCAAACAGATTTCTTACTACGAATACATATTCTATTCATACGAACCTATCCTAAATATCTTGTCGGCATTAAAAACCCATTGAGGTTTTAATATGCCATAAAAACAAAATCAACCAAACCAAACAGATTTCTTACTACGAATACATATTCTATTCATACGAGCCTATCCTAAATATCTTGTCGGCATTAAATAAACCCATTGAGGTTTTAATATGCCATAAAACAAAATCAACCAAACCAAAACAGATTTCTTACTACGAATACATATTCTATTCATACGAACCTATCCTAAATATCTTGTCGGCATTAAATAACCCATTGAGGTTTTTTAATATGCCATAAAACAAAATCAACCAAACCAAACAGATTTCTTACTACGAATACATATTCTATTCATACGAACCTATCCTAAATATCTTGTCGGCATTAAATAACCCATTGAGGTTTTAATATGCCATAAAACAAAATCAACCAAACCAAACAGATTTCTTACTACGAATACATATTCTATTCATACGAACCTATCCTAAATATCTTGTCGGCATTAAATAACCCATTGAGGTTTTAATATGCCATGAAACAAAATCAACCAAACCAAACAGATTTCTTACTAGGAATACATTCTATTCATACGAGCCTATCCTAAATATCTTGTCGGCATTAAATAACCCATTGAGGTTTTAATATGCCATAAAACAAAATCAACCAAACCAAACAGATTTCTTACTAGGAATACATATTCTATTCATACGAACCTATCCTAAATATCTTGTCGGCATTAAATAACTCATTGAGGTTTTAATATGCCATAAAAACAAAATCAACCAAACCAAACAGATTTCTTACTAGGAATACATATTCTATTCATACGAAGCCTATCCTAAATATCTTGTCGGCATTAAATAACTCATTGAGGTTTTAATATGCCATAAAACAAAATCAACCAAACCAAACAGATTTCTTACTACGAATACATATTCTATTCATACAAACCTATCCTAAATATCTTGTCGGCATTAAATAACTCATTGAGGTTTTAATATGCCATAAAACAAAATCAACCAAACCAAAAACAGATTTCTTACTACGAATACATATTCTATTCATAAACCTATCCTAAATATCTTGTCGGCATTAAATAACCCATTGAGGTTTTAATATGCCATGAAACAAAATCAACCAAACCAAACAGATTTCTTTACGACGAATACATATTCTATTCATACGAACCTATCCTAAATATCTTGTCGGCATTA